ATCCACAGAATATATTTTGTGGATATCCAATATGGATATCCAACCAAATGTCCGTCTATATCCCAGGATATATAATTCAGATATTCAGCAAAATATTTTATAGGTATCTTTAGTAGACATTCATAAGTAACCAAATGATTGTTACGAAAGAAAATAGAGATAAAAAATATTTCCAACAATCTGCCTTTGAGTTTGCCCACTAAGGAAAAAGTCATCCTTATTAGGACTCTTCAGCAATAAATGGAATTTCTCGACTCCAGTCTCTAATAGAGTTAATGCGAAAAATTTTTCGATCAACTCAATTATGGCGGGTTGAGCATGAGTAGATACGAAAGTGGTATCGCCATCTATACTTAGGAAGCAAAATCAAAAATTACATCTAGTAGATATCCACGATGGTTTGCGTCCGCGCTAAGACTTTGATATATGTGGATGTCCATGGGATATTGAATACACCTTAAAAAAATTAATTTTAAATATCTGAACGGTACTATTAGCCACAATGGCGAGCACAATGGCGTAATTTTTTAATAATTTGCTATATAATTACTATTATTTATGGGCATTTGCATGTCTATAAATTACATTTTATGGATATAAAATAGATATCCACCATGGACTGGACATTCAGTGGATATTGGGATGTTCAGTAGATATCCAAAGGATTTGGTGTGCTGTCTGGGAACTCTTCCCGATTTGGAAATAATAAAAACGCAGAACGCTTCCACCTCAAGTTCGTCAAACTTCTAAGACCGGATAAGAAAGTTTACTTAAAAAATAACTGGATTTGTAGATGTGGTGAAAAAAATCCCTTACAAAAACGTTCTTCTTTACCTAAACTACAAAGACCATGGATCTTAAGTTTCTCGTAAAATAAATCTAAGTGTAGTGCAACGTATGTTATATAAACAATAATTAAAATGGAATGAATGAATGCATTTACCTACTTAATCACTGAGTATTATATCAGAGGTTCTAATTGTATCTTGTAAGTAATATTTACATGCGTATTGGGAAATTATTGTGATTGTTATTAAAAAACTTTTGTAATTTTGTAATTTTTTATATTATTGCTTCATTAATTAACTAAAATGATATACTTACCTAAATACCTAATTTTTCTTAAAGCCTTTTAATGTTGTGCTGTTATTATAAAATTATATTATTATTGCAATTTGTAAGTCTTGAAAAATATTTGTTACATACCTTTTTGTTATGTATGTAGGGTTTGGTATTTTTTTATAGGTAATGAAATTATAAAATAAAAACGATTCTAGTCATAAAATTATAAATTCAATATTTTATTCGTATTTTGAACTTTAACGTTTACTAAAAAGTAGCACATACAAAAAAACTAAATCAAACTCTCCGATTCAAGATCGTTGATAGTTTATAATAATAGAATTATACAATTCCATGTAGAATGTCAAAAATATAGCCCGCTAATGTAGGTACAATGAAACCAGCTTTACAGCTGTTATATAATACACTTTCACTATGGATCAGCTGCTTGTTGGTTCGATGTTGGGTAAAAAACCATTAACGTAACTTGTTATAAGGTAAAAAATCATTTGATAATTAGAATAAAAATGTAACAAGAATATATAAGGTGGATCAAACATAAATTAAATAACACTTCAACATATTAAAGAATTTTTTGATAGAATAAGAAGTAGAAACACTGAAATCCCATATCCATTTAGGTCTTGCTATTTAAATATATGCCAATTTTTCGTAGTGCCGAATAACAACGACATTTATTATTATTATTGATTACTAATAAACTCTTGGTTTTGCTATTTTTGTATCTTGTTATATATTGGAAATAAATATTATTGAAATAGTGAAAACATACAGTCCATCATTTCAACAATTTTAACGATTTATTCTGTTGCATAACGTTTGGTTTGTATTTATACTTCTGTAGTTTTATGTAAATTTTAATTACGATTTTAATATTAAATAAATTGTTTTTTTTTTGTTGAAGTATCATTTCGAGGTAATAAACTTTGTTTACAATATAAATGTCAATCCAATTATGATTTTTCTCGATAGCTTGTTATTATTATTTATTAATCTTGCTTCAGGCGTCTTTTAATATCAATAATAAGATCAATACCTACATAACAAGATGTCGAAGAATAAGAAAGTCCCGTTGTTAGTTGAACTTTATTTTTTCAACACACCAAAAACTATTGCGTTATAAAACATTAATTTTCAATAACTATTGTGATAGATATAATTAAAAAATTACTAGCAATGCGATATTTATTGTTTATTCTTACTTCAATTATATTTTTTTGTGATTCTTGAGTTATTATGTATACAAATTTCATAAATCATTGATGACTCACAGTTGGTTAAATGAGTTCCATATTTTTCAATTCAATCTGAGAATATTTTGAAAATTAAAATATCAGAACCGGCTTCTATTCATCATGTTTTTTGTGTTAATTTTGGCGGTCTATCGGAGAGATCTATCATAGCAAGTTTAAAAAACTGCACAGGTCTATTCGAATACACGCTCTGGTCTACCTGTGCAGGCATTCCTGAACAGGCAGGCCTCTCTAGTGCACCGTAGCGTGTATACCCGCCATCACTAAAAGTAAGAGCAGTCTTAATAACATTTGTTGCAATACACAATCTGAAGTATTCTTCCAAGTAGATACCCAAATGTACCCGATTGATTTTGGGTCACTGTCAATATTCTTCCAGTATTTTATGAGTTGAAAGAAGCAACTTTAAATCCAAGATTGTAGCTATACAAGGTGAGTCACTAATCAAGTATCTAGGTAGTATTTAAATAGGGGTTTAGTGCTCCTATTCACATTTTCTTCGTAGAGAATCGTCCTCTGTTAATATATGCTCTTGGGTGGACATTAGTGGTTGGGGACTAGGTATTAGAGCCTCCAGAAACAAAGAGAAGAGGGCGCAGAGTCACCTGCATTCCAAAACAAGGGAAACACGTTCTAAATCCTTCCGAACAATCAACCTCACAATCTTTTTAATAAAAATCATAGCGAAGGCGGTTGATAATATTAACAGAAGAGTGCTACTCCATCACAGCCAGCAGCAAGATCGCTAGAAACTGCCTTTTGGTACATGTGATGAAGGAAATCCAGGATGTACTGACAAACAAAGAAAAGGTCGTGTGTGTGTCTTTTTAAACATAGTAGGAGTGTTTGACAGCAAGCCAGACAAATTTGTCAAAAGAGCACTCACAGAGTAACATCTACGAGAACTGCAGAGACATATAGGACAGGATATCATTTTTTTTTTAACCTTTAAACTTAAAGTGTGAAATATTATCAAAATGTTACTTGGTAAACCATCGATATGTGATTGGGATGGATTAATTTATCTTATAGATAATGGGGCTGAGTCCAGCAAATCCTGAAGTTTAACGGTGAGTGGGAGTTCTTAGATTAGGTTGGGAGAGCTTTCTTTTCGGTTTGCGAAATAGTGGGAGACGTTATGGGCGCCAGGGGGGGTTTGTAGTCTGTTTTAGGAGTGAATGTTTGATCCTTTCACAGTGCGAGTGACGTATTGTTTCCTGAGGGTTTGGAAACGAGTGAGTATGGGGCCGTTAGAGATGATTTCGAAAACTTCTCGCGGAAGGGAAGAAATTGGAATCATCGGAGTATACGTCTCTCGAGCGTGGTGAATTTGCGGGCAAGATGTGCTGGAAGTACGCTGTATAGTACCGCTCTGTACTCGGTAATGGGACAGATAAATGAATTGTATGTGTGAATTAAAGTGTTTGGGTTGCATCGTCCAAAAGATCCACACAAAGCTCCAAGAAAACTTGCTTGCCATGACATTTTGTCAAGAGTTTGTTGGACATTAGAGGTTCAGTTAAGAGTACGAGAGAATGACACTCCTAAATAGTCAAGTTTAGTCTGTTTAGCGAGTTTTGGAGATTTACACTAAGGTTCTGGGGAATCTGGGAGGCTCTTTAAGAATTTGGATGTTTAAAAATGATAGATAGACATTTTGACGATAGGTGGTTTCGAAGGTGTAGCGTTGCGAGTATATATGAAGTATAGGAGAGGTTCCAGGACGGAGCCCTGCGGGTACCCCAGCAAATGGGTCTGACAGGGCGTTGCCTACTTTGACTGTAATAGTTCTGTAAGTGAGGCATGAGTTTTGAGATATTGAGGGAGACACCTATGTTCATAAGTTTTTTGCTAGTCCAGCATCATACCAGACTTGGTCAAAGGCTTTTTAAACATCGAGAAAAACGGCTGAAGAGATATGGAGTTTACTGCAGTGACCGCAGTAGTGTGAATATTGCGTCCTGAGTGGAGTGATGAGGTCTTAAACCATGTTGGGGTTGAGGAATTATGTTTTGCTCTTTACAAAAGTCCCAAATTCTTCCCTTGAGCAGAAAGTTCACCTAGTACTGATATGAGAGAGATATGATGGTATGAATCTAGGTACTTGGGGTCCTTGCATGCTTTCAAAATGGTGATATCGGATTTTTAGGCAAGTGAAAAGTAGGAGAATGAGTGGCAGGAGTTTAAGAGTAGGGTAAGGGTGGAAAACACAGTTTCAACGCTTTTCTAAGTATGGAATCGGGCTGAGAGGCTGTTTTTTTGCCTGCTAGGGAAAGATTGGAGCGGCAAGTGTCTAATGGATGTGGAGTTCGGTATCATGTTGGAAAATTAGGGATTGCGAGGGGTTCTGAAAATGGTTTCAAGATGTACTTAAGTACTAGGGATTTTCGTCGGGTGTTCTGGGTATTTCACAATCGATTTCGATGTGGGGGCGAGTTTTGGCATTTTAGCCCAATAATAATCATTCTGCCCTCTTAAAATAGTTAATCTTTTACTCAATTCAGTTACAGGCCATTACTGGGCTTTACCAGTTTGAAATATATTTCTTGTATTACACCCATCTTCTATAGAAAAAAAATTGACATCAAAATATACAGTAATACAGTTTTATTTATTAATTTACTTATAAATATGTACAAAAGTAATCTAATCTTAAACATAATTTTATTTGCATTCTTCATGATAAGGTTCCAAACTTCTGAGATCTCTCCAGGTTGGTGGAAGGTTGGAATTTAGATGGTTTCCACATCTTTTACAAGGCGCATTGAAAAGTGTAATGTAACTATGAAACCAGTGCTGAAATAAAAAAATATACAAATGTAAATTTTATAGTTTTATATAAAATCAGTTGTCAGTTATTTGAAGTTGATAGTTTGCTCTGTTTGGAAGTTATGATTGAAAAAGTTGTTTTTCCATTCCCCTTTGTTCCCTTTTAATCTCCCTTATTTCAAAGAATATTAATTTTTGTAGTAAATTAAATCACTTTCATAAAAAAAGATATTATTACTTACCATGAACGATCGCACGGCTAAATCAGGCATCATTGGAGAGTGAAAATGACACATTGCTGCATGACAATTCTCAGTGACTTTTCTAAAAACCTTATAGCGAGATTCTGTCCAAAGATCATTCGATTCTGAACGATCTTTTACCACAACCCATTCGATCATCAGTCCTTTGAAAGCAATGATAGCTTTCAAAATTCTTCCTAGAGTTATCTGTAAATATGATTTTTTTTTATATATATATATAAAAAAAGATACAAGGTTTGTTTCTGCATCAGTTTCTGATTAAAAAAAAAGAATATAAAGTAGAATGCATTGTATGGCAGTTTGTAAATTATTTGCTGATGAATGAAAAGATTTAGCAAAAATAAACTGTTAATGAAATATGAGTTGTCTATAATATTGTTTAGGCATATTCTACATCTCATAAGAAAATAATTTTTGGATAACAAGAAAAAAATTAATAATATTCACCACGAAATTTTTATATATTTAAGTTTTATTTAAGTCACTTTTTTTAGCATTTTTTTTTTTAAGTTCACCTACCTGAATTATCGGATTTGGTACCAACGGCCTGTTGGGAGTAAATGTGACATCAGGAAAGAGTCTATCTATACTTGAAATCAAGTTTTCAATTACTCTAAAAAGGAATAAAACAATAAGTTATATATTTGAATAAAATAAGGACTATAACTGAAAAGTTTTGGAGCAAAACCTCACAATATAATAGCATATTAGTGCTTAGATTTTCTATGCAATGAAAAATTATGAGAAATAGTTTTAGATTTTTTTTTAAATAAAATGAGAATGCGTGTGGGATATAAGACTAAACATGGGAAACTAGAAGAAATTGAAATACTGGATGAGCCAATGAAACAAGATGATTTAAAAAATCAGAAAACATTAAAAAATAATCATATTTTCTAACATTGATTGATGTAAACATAATCTACATGAATGGAAATATTGTTTGAGTGCAAAATTGTTTATTTTTAAAAAATAATAACTGTAAAGTGACCTCTATTTTGTTGCACACATATTTGCATAGCATTTCTAGCAGTATTGCAGCCACTTCATGTCAATAATTATTGGGGGTTACTTTGGAACACTTTTGTTTTTAAAAGAAGAAGAAGAAAGTAACGTGCAAACAAGTCAGGAAAATGAGATACCCAGGGAATATCATCATTAATAAGATGACTTGGGAATGCCTATCTTACTAAGTATTCACAATAAATAACTTTCCTCTCTCTGGATTCAGAATGTTGACATCCCAAGTCAGTCACCCCTCTACTATTTTTGCAGTGGCATTCTCAAATCATCCCCTTTTATTATCACCAAATTTAGTCAGCATATCATTGACTAATTATTTTAGTTGTCAATCAAGATTCCTTCTAAATATAATCAACAATAGAAAATGTTGGCACAATGATTATTCTATTTACTAATACTTACTCTGGTGCTACATTATGGTTACTTGTAGGCGTTTTTCTCCTTTTCGCTGTACTATAAGTCTTGTATGTCTTATTAAAAGAATTGGCTGCAAGAATATTGCCAGCTACTGCACTGTACTCACGTATCTAAAAAATATTAAAATAAATGAATGATTTCAAGATAGAGTAACAGGTTACTTTTTGAAGTAAAAAAACCTTAAAATCCATAAAACTCTTACTTTATCAGTCCATTTATAACTATTGACCAATTGTCCATATAATGCTTGCCTTTCTTGAGTTGTTTCTTGACTTAAATACGTGGTGTTTCCTAGACTAAAGGGGCCAGCTTGTTGTGATAGATTTGAAACAGCATTTTCAACATCTCTGTAAATTTTGATTGTAATTAATGAATGTTTATAACAATGATTTTATTTTCATACCTTAAATTGTTGTTTACTGTGGTAAGAAGTTCTTGTAGTTCATAAATAAATTTGGTTTCTTTTCCCTCATCTCCATGGTCTGCTCGCAAGCCGTTACTTACAGATTCAAATACACTTCTGACGTTGGATCTTAAGACTTTTATTGCGTTTAAGGCTGAATTAAGTTGTTCTAAATCCCTTTCCATTATAAAGTTACTCTTATATTAGATAAAATTAGAGAAAACAATGTTTATTTACTAGAAATGACAAATAACTAAGGTAATATAACCCCAATTTTCTTCTTTCCCACTAGCCTTTTAGATGAACTGGGTTCATTAGATCAAGCAGCCAACAGTTAACAAAAAGGGGATTTTTGCGTGTTTCAGAAAAGGTTAACGCAGCCAGGCGCAGCTAGTCGCAGCCAAACGTAGATAGACGCAGTCAGACGCAATCAAACGCAGCCAGACGTAAATAGACGCAGCCAGGCGCATCTAGACGCATCTAAACGCAGACAGACGCATCTAGACGCAGGCAAGTGCAGCCAGACGCTGACAGACGAAGTCACACGAAGGCAGACGCAGAAGGACGAACTGACAGAAACAGACACAAAGACGGACAACACGTATTTAGTTTTTTTTACATTACTGTTCTCCTGAAAAATTTGGTTTCATAGAAAGAACTTGATGGTTTTTGCTGTGAACCTTTTACGTTTATACCTATACTGTGCGTTTTTTGTTTCAGAAATCACATTCTTCATTGTGTTAGGGGCGCAATGGTAACTTGGATTATGTAGCAGCCCGACAGTCCCAGCCCGATAGTCCCACCCCAATAATAGTCCCAGCTACTTCATATATTTTTTTAATATTATATTTGTATATTTTTATTTAATAAATTTATTCTTTTTGATTATGATTATTAATTAGAAATACCTACCTACCTAAAATGTAGAGAAACAAGTTACTAATTCTATTTAGTTCGATGCTCAAATATCTTTAAATATTTATATTTTATTAATAAATTTAAAAAAAGAAAAGAAAAAATAGAAAAAACAAAAAAAAAAGTAAAAAAAAACTATAAAAGAAGAAGAAAAAAGAAAAAAAAAACTATCGTTCTCTGATAATGTAATCAATACACAAACTAATCATTGGGAGACGCTGTACATTCGACTTTTCTTTGGTACTCGTGGCGACATCTACGTATGACTTTTGATACTATATGGCCACAGCTCAATCGAAAAAAATAGAGAGAAAAGAAAGTCTCCGATTTCGCTGAAATTTGGTACACAGAATCAGGATGTAAAACTAAATGTCGGAGTGGTGTCTGTTACTCAATATCTCTCCTCGTTCAGAAGTTAGAAAAAGGTGCTCCGATTTGGACGAAACGTCGTATACAGATATTAGACGATCAGTAGGTTTGAATAAACTCACAAGCAGTTTTCTATGTTTGCCAATTATCGAGAAACAAGCCTCAACTTTTCGACGATTTAGTTTAGTGGGAAACGGACCTATTTTCTTACCGATTTAAAGCGCATACTGTCCACTGTCCGATTTTCAGCTCAATCGACGACCATGAATTTTTAACGAAAAATCGAAAGGGTATAGCCTTCAAAATTTTTTGATCAAATTATTTTTTTCCTCAGATTTTGATGCACATTTGGGTACATACAAAAGAAAGCATGACAAATTACAGGGTGGACTCGGTTGCTCTGTATCTATAACCGTTTACTGTTTTTTTCGTTTTTCTCAGTAACTAATTATTCAATTACTTTGTAAATAAGCACAAATGAAGAGCAGGACAGATACATCAGGGTGCTGTTTTCCTTTCTTCTCTATCTCCAGCAGTTTGGGAAATATTCAAGTTCAAAACTTCAAACGCGAATATCTCGGAAACGGTAAGAGATAGAGCAAAATGACCCAGAGGTCCACGGGCAGACCCTAAAATGAAGTACGTAGGGAGCTCTATCGACCTACGCAATAAAAATAATTTCTTTTTTCGAAATTTCAAAATTTTTTCCAAAGTCCACTTTTCGTTGATTTCAGATTTCATACTCGAAAAAAAATTATTTTTTATCTAAAATGTGAACAGAACATGGCGAAACCAATACCTTTTTAAACTGGTCTCGCCATCTATGGACGAATTAACAAACAAGGGGCAGTTAATAGTAGAATACTATTTTGATATCTTCCTTGTTTTCACAATTTGTCAGTAGATGGCGCCATCAGTACAACTATCTAGAGTACGGCCATTTTTTATCCATAATTTTTTTTTTGTCTCCGATTTCGCTGAAACTTTGTACAGAGAATCAGGATGTAAAACTAAATGTCGTAGTGGTGTCTGTTACTCAATATTGGTCTTAGTTTGATAGTTGGAAAAAGGTGCTCCGATTTGGACGAAACTTTGCATGCAGTAAGTAGAAGACAAGTACGTTTGAAAAAAGTCAAATGCAGTTCTCTAAGTTTGCTAATTATTACAAAACAAGCCTCTACTTTTTAACCATTTATGTTAGCGAGAAACGGACTGTTTTTCTGAACGTTTTAGAGCGAATACTATCCACTGTCCGATTTTCAGCTCAATCGGAGACCATGAATTTTCCACGAAAAATCGAAAGGGTATAGCCTTCAAAATTTTTTGATCAAATTATTTTTTTCGTCAGATTTTGATGCAAATTTGGGTACATGTAAAAGAAAGCATGACAAATTACAGGGTGGACTCGGTTGCTTTGTATCTATAACCGTTTACTGTTTTTTTCGTTTTTCTCAGTAACTAATTATTCAATTACCTTGTAAATTATCACAGATGTAGAGCAGGACAGATACATTAGGATGCTGTTTCCCTTTCGTCTCTATCTTGAGCAGTTTAGGAAATATTCAAGTTCAAAACTTCAAACGCGAATATCTCGGAAACGGTAAGAGATAGAGCAAAATGACCCAGAGGTCCACGGGCAGACCCTAAAATGAAGTACGTAGGGAGCTCTATCGACCCACGCAATAAAAACAATTTTTTTTTTCGAATTTTCAAAATTTTTTCAAAAGTCCACTTTTCGTCGATTTCAGATTTCATAGTCGAAAAAAATTTACTCTCATGGCAAAATCGATACATTTTTAAACTGTTTCGCCATCTATAGACGAAATCACAAACAAGGAGTAGATTATATTAGAATACTATTTTGACATTTTCCTTGTTTTGGCAACTCGTCAGTAGATGGCGCCATTAGTATAACTAACTAGAGTACGATCATTTTTTATCCACATTTTGAGAAGAAAATGCTTTGTACTCTAAAACGATTTGTCTTAGAAAGAAACAGATTCTTTTTTTAAAATCTACACAGTAGATTCTATGTATATGCCGAATTTCAGCTCAATCGGACACCATGAATTTTTCACGAAAAATCGAAAGGGTTTAGCCTTCAAAAAATTTTACATAGAATTTTTTTCGTCTCCGATTTCACTGAAATTTAGCACAGAGAATCAGGATGTAAAACTAAATGTCGGAGTGCTGTCTGTTATTCAATATCTCTCCTCGTTCAAAAGTTGAAAAAAGTTGCTCCGATTTGGACGAAACGTTGTATGCAGTAAGTAGAAGACAAGTACGTTTGAAGAAAGTCAGTTGCAGTTTTCTAAGTTTTCTAATTATCACAAAACAAGCCTCTACTTTTTGACCATTTAAGTTATGCAGAAACGGACAATTTTTCTTACCGTTTTAGAGCGCATACTGTCCACTGTCCGATTTTCAGCTCAATCGAAGACCATGAATTTTTCACGAAAAATCGAAAGGGTATAGCCTTCAAAATTTTTTGATCAAATTATTTTTTTCCTCAGATTTTGATGCAAATTTGGGTACATATAAAAGAAAGCATGACAAATTACAGGGTGGACTCGGTTGCTTCGTTTCTAAAACCGTTTAATGTTTTCTTCGTTTTTCTCAGTAACTAATTATTCAATTACTTTGTAAATTATCACAGATGTAGAGCAGGACAGATACATTAGGATGCTGTTTCCCTTTCGTCTCTATCTTGAGCAGTTTAGGAAATATTCAAGTTCAAAACTTCAAACGCGAATATCTCGGAAACGGTAAGAGATAGAGCAAAATGACCCAGAGGTCCACGGGCAGACCCTAAAATGAAGTACGTAGGGAGCTCTATCGACCCACGCAATAAAAACAATTTTTTTTTTCGAATTTTCAAAAATTTTTCAAAAGTCCACTTTTCGTCGATTTCAGATTTCATAGTCGAAAAAAATTTACTCTCATGGCAAAATCGATACATTTTTAAACTGGTCTCGCCATCTATAGACGAAATCACAAACAAGGAGTAGATTATAATAGAATACTATTTTGACATGTTCCTTGTTTTGGCAACTCGTCAGTAGATGGCGCCATCAGTATAACTAACTAGAGTACGTTCATCTTTTATCCACATTTTGAGAAGAAAATGCTTTGTACTTTAAAACGATTTGTCTTAGAGAGGAACAGATTCTTTTTTTAAAATCTACACATTAGATTCTATGTATATGCCGAATTTCAGCTCAATCGGACACCATGAATTTTTCAGGAAAAATCGAAAGGGTATAGCCTTCAAAAAATTTTACATAGAATTTTTTTCGTCTCTGATTTCACTGAAATTTAGCACAGAGAATCAGGATGTAAAACTAAATGTCGGAGTGCTGTCTGTTATTCAATATCTCTCCTCGTTCAAAAGTTGAAAAAAGTTGCTCCGATTTGGACGAAACGTTGTATGCAGTAAGTAGAAGACAAGTACGTTTGAAGAAAGTCAGTTGCAGTTTTCTAAGTTTGCTAATTATCACAAAACAAGCCTCTACTTTTTGACCATTTAAGTTATGGAGAAACGGACAATTTTTCTTACCCTTTTAGAGCGCATACTGTCCACTGTTCGATTTACAGCTCAATCGAAGACCATTAATTTTTCACGAAAAATCGAAAGGGTATAGCCTTCAAAATTTTTTGATCAAATTATTTTTTTCCTCAGATTTTGATGCAAATTTGGGTACATATAAAAGAAAGCATGGCAAATTACAGGGTGGAAACGGTTGCTTCGTTTCTATAACCGTTTAATGTTTTTTTCGTTTTTCTCAGTAACTAATTATTCAATTACCTTGTAAATAAGCACAAATGTAGAGCAGGACAGATACATCAGGGTGCTGTTTTCCTTTCTTCTCTATATCCAGCAGTTTGAGAAATATTCAAGTTCAAAACTTCAAACGCGAATATCTCGGAAACGGTAAGAGATAGAGCAAAATGACCCAGAGGTCCACGGGCAGACCCTAAAATGAAGTACGTAGGGAGCTCTATCGACCCACGCAATAAAAACAATTTTTTT